CAGGTGACACAAAGAACCAATAGGATTTTACCCAGAACAATACAGTAAAGCTTCTGAGCCAGGCCTGACTCCTCAACCTAAGCAATTTCAAAAGATATTAAGGACCCGTGATCCTCTCCTCTCCTCTCCTCTCCTCATAGTTGTTTAGCTGTCCCAAACAGCCTGGCAGTATTTCAGAGATAGAACATGTCAACGAAATGGCACTAGGTCATACTGTAGCACTGTTCCCAGGGCACGTTTTGGGGAAATGATGGTTGGCCTCAGTATGCAACAAATCATTTAAGTAACACCCTGAAATTCTTAGAATTGGTCCATTCCTAAAAGTCACTATTTTCCCCATTTCCATAGGGAAGGGGGATAATTCAGCACAGCCGTGGCTCAGATTCCTGTTAGGCAGTGTGTGGACTCTGTTTGCCAGGAGCTCCCATTACTGTATCAACACTTCAGACATACTTCTATTTCATGAGCAATTTAGGACATTTCTTGAACAATTTTAGCATTTGGAGGAGAAATGTAACTTACCAAAATAGTTTCCAAGAAGGAAGGGAAAAAAAGGATCTATTGACACAGCAAACTCAAGTTTAAAGACTTATTGGAATCAGGAAAAAAAATCTTCACACCCATTTATATGAGAAATATGAAAAAGGAAAAATACCACTTGGAGAATGCTGATAAGTCTTATCAGTTGTGGATTCTAGTGATTGAGGGGTGTGTATGTGATGCTTTTCCTGATTTGGGTGTTTGAACCATGTGCAAGAGTAGCTCCTGCAGTCTAGGATCAGCTGTGATACCCTTTGCTTGCCTGACACACAGCACGTCTGAGATTTGAAAGTGGAAAATGTATCGCATGATTTATTCCTGCTTTCTGATATTCCAGCCAATCAAGCTGTCTTCAGCTACCTGACAGACTGCCTAATGTTCAATGTTGAACTGATAGCAAAGGAAGATTGTCCCTCTTGGCTTTTCTCTATTCCTGTTCTGGCCTACTACTAAGTGTATCTTTGTACAGCTGTAATGTAGTAGTGTCATTACATTGAAAAGTGAAAAAACAAACAAGTAGAAGAAAAGATGAATTGATTTCTGCTAGAATCCAGTGAGAGGGAAAGTTCTTTATGCAGATTTTCTCAGGCTGAGAACAATACATCAAAGGCGTTACCTTTTGTCTGGAATTTACATGAAGCTTCATTCCCCCACTGATGGTATCTTTCCATGTATAAACATTGAATGCTTACTGGTCATTTTTGGATACACCCAACAAGTGGCTTGAGGATTTATTTCTCCTCACAGGAAGCTGTGGTCATCACTCACAAGTTCTCATGAGGAGTTCCCAAACTTCTTCTTCATGGTTTACATTTAGGTAGTTCTGGTAACAAAGATAATGTGTTCAACACTTTCTCATGGATACGAAGATGAAGTCAGGGCTCAAAGGAGGCCAAATGATTGAGATGTACACAGAAGGGTAATGCACTCATAAAAACTGTTCCTCATAGAATTCTTTAATGCCCTACCACAATAACCATTGGAGGGATGCATGTTTAGTTCTGGCACACTTCAAAGAAACAGTGGGAGAAATGTTAATTCTCCCAGGGTAAGATTTAGTAGCCCTGCTGTTCCCCAAGATCATGCATACAGTGATTTGTCCTACCATAAATAGATCTGTTTTATCTCACACTAGGAATACTAACAAATCTCCCTTTGCATTAAGGGCTGATAGGGGTGGAGCTAAACACCAAAGTCATCACTTCTCTCCTCTGCTGGACAGTTCTGTGCACTTAAGAAGTAATGGACTGTGCAGTGAGTTGAGAGATCAGTAGATTCTCATTAAAGGCAAAGCATATCTAAGGATCACAAATAGATATCACACCAGCCCTGTGCTAATAATCGTACAACATTATGAATGTTTGAAGGGGAGGAGAGGAGAATCACCCACTTCAATCATTCTTCAACTTGGAATTTGTGCACTAGAGTACATGTCCACATACTCCAATAATTGTAAGCTCTGAAAGTCCAGGCATCTAAACAAGGGGGATATCAATCCCATGTTTGTTTGTTCATTTGTTTATTAAATGCTTTTATAGATTGCTATAATCCCAAAGGACTTTGTTCAGAATTGTGCATTGGGAGAGGGGATGTTCCAAGTACTCCAGTTCCATTTCCTTCTATTCAATCCTTTCTGCCCAGTTTGTTAGCACAATAAACAATGTCTGTTTCACAGTCATTTATATATTATAGTATTATTTAAATGTACATGGGTGTTTAGTTATGAACTATTCATGAGGTATGTACTAAGTAGCATGTTGTGCACCATACACCCAAAATAGTCCTGGGAACTCCTGAACTACATAGGACAAACTAAAAGAAACAATGACAAAAATATCATTCTAGACCTACACCTTTTTGTTTCTCTAAAGAGAAAACTAGGAGAGATTTTGCGTAAAGCAAGCAAATGTGTGTAAAAGGTTTTTTAAAAGGCATAAATCTCTCTCTTTTTTAACTGCAAGAGACTAATTTTCTCCTCCAAACATAAAAAAAGGATTTAGCTTTTTATGAGAAATCAGCTTTGGGAATGGAGTGGAATATAAACTGAAGCAAATCAATACATAAATTGCTAGGAAAACCTATCTGAAGCTGTCGCAATGCTAACAGCCTGTCAGTTATTTTTATTCTGGCAGTCTTTTGGCAGTCCCCAGCAGATAGAATGGAAGAAAGGTTTATTGAACCTGCAGTTGACTGCATTCAACGTGAGGGTCATACATTATTCAAATCTGATTTGTGGCATGTGGCATCAAGAAAGACAGACAGGCAAAAAGAGCTTAGAGATGGAGGAATCAAGGGCTTACTTGGCATAGATAAGTTACAAAAAGTAAGCTTTTGTTTAGAATAGAGTTGGAAGCTAGAAAATGAATATAAAAGAGCATGGAGGGAAAGGGCAGTTTGAGAAGAAATTAAAAATGAGCAGAAGTGCAAGTTCCTAGGAAGGGCTGAATTGTACCTAATAATCAGCCAAATTTTTGGCAAGAAATCTCCAGTTCATTACAAAATGACTTCATTATGCAGACACATCTTTGTTTCACTAGTCCAGCCATCCTTCTCAGTAATCTCCCCAGATAATGCAACACACCCAATTCAGTGGATGCAAGAGCCATTATATATTCCCATCCAGAATTCTTTTGCCCTCAAAGGATGTCCAGCAAACTTCTGCTAAAATCTTAGGTAATCATCCAGAAGCACTGATACTGTAGAAACTGGAAAAAAGCATGTGAATGCAGAGAACAATTCTGTCTTGCATAGGGTAGTAAAAGCCCCTGCAAGACTGCGGCTCTAAGACTGTACCCTGAGGCTCCTATTTCTCATCTGGTTAGCACTCTGGCTCTTCATTGTTTTGATTTGGGACCGATCTTGAGCGCCTTCATAACTGACTCTAAGGGCCTTTCCTCTTGCCAAATTTGAGTGCTATCTGTCTGTCTTGGGCTGGCAGAAATCTATACCAGCCTAAAGCTCATATCCCCATTGCAATCCTGTCTCTATAGGCTCTGTTTTAGCTTGTGCTGAATGTTGTGCTAAATGTTGGTATCATGATGTTGCATGAGCAGGGCATGTTAAACAACTTGGTGAAACCCTCTGGCTTTGCTGCCCTTCCACTGCAGGTCACCAACCAGTGGGAAACCATACACCATTCCTGATGTCAGGATGGGGCTTGGAAAGGTGCTACAAAAAAGCAAAGGAAAGCAAGCTTTTAAAATAATTGTATATTTTGGATACCCTAATCTTATTTTTCAATAAAGTACGAGTTCTGAAATAATGTGTGAAAGCTCACTAACTGAATTAAAATTAACCATAGAATTGCAGCTGTAGAAATGTCAGAAAGTAAAACTTTCATGTTATATCAAAGAATTGCTTTTTTTCATTGTTAGAACTAATACCAGATGAGGAATCTGTGGCCTTTAGATGTTGCTGACGTACTATCTCCAGCCATTGCACTTGATTGGGGCTGCTGGCAGCCATAATTTAGCAACATCTGTGAGGCCCCAGATTCCCCATCCCTAAGATTTATTTTATTTTTTCAAATTTGTTATAGCCACCCAACTCCAATGGACTCTTGCTGTGTCTATATACATAAAAGTGTAATGCATGAATGCACGTGTCTCATACGGTTTTTGGAATCCAATATATACCCCATTTGTCTTTGTAAAATATAGGAATTGGACCTAACCTTTCTTTATTCTTCTTGTCAGCAGCTTCCCCTTTCTGCCCTTTTCTTATTCTCTTATCTCCTATTGACTTCTGAATAATATGGAATCAGCAGTAATCAATTTATCTGTACTTCAAGCTCAACCATAATGTGGTTTGGTGGTTCTAGTTTAAGCCTAAAGTGGATAATCTGTGGTCCACAAGCCACAAAAGCCACAAGTTGCCTATCTCTGCTTTATAGAACCAATGAAATGTCATTGTCAAATGACAGATTGCAAATTTAAAATATTCAGTGCCATCCACTGAATTTAAGAGCAGTCTTTTCCTTTTCTTTTGTACCTGCAAACAAATTTTCTTCCTGTTCATGAGTTTTATTATTGGTGAAGTCAAAATGAGGCTTTGAGTTGTTCTGCAATGCTAAAAAAATAATAATAATCTGTTGAAGTAGAAGTTTTTTCATAGCAAATAAACAATATCATATGAATTGGTTTGTCATGATGGAAGGAAATGCTACACTTAAACAAAAGATCCTCATACACCTATTTTATGTTCCTTTAAAAGCTTAAAAATAAAAGTATTCATTCAGAATAAACATCTATACGTTTTCTAGCCACTCTTCATTATCTTAAAACCCATGGTTTTATTTGCAAGCATTTGCTCCCCTTATTCAGATAGCTGTAGTTGGTTGTTTCTTCCATTTCTGGATAAAGATGCTAATTTCCTGATGTGCCATGAATGTACAGTAGCATCTTTGTGAAACTCAGGGGGAAAAAACAACGAAATGGCTCTGTTTTTGTGAATTTCAGGACCGCCTATTTTTCGTCATGGAATATGTCAATGGAGGAGACCTAATGTTTCAGATACAACGTTCACGCAAATTTGACGAGCCTCGCTCCCGCTTCTATGCAGCAGAAGTCACGTCAGCACTCATGTTTCTACATCAACATGGTGTCATCTACAGGTACTTTTCTTTGAGAGATTGAAATAAAGAATTATTAAAGCTCTTCATTTGGTATTGGCTAAAGTCCAGGGTCTCTTAGCAACCGCATTGGCTGTTGGTTTCTGCTTGCTTGCACAGAACTTTTTTTCTTACTCTTTTTGAGGTGGGGAGAAGACTGTTTATCATTCTGAATGTTAGCATTTGAATCGTCTCTGCAGCCCTTGCCAGCTGTGGGTGCCAGTTTTGTATTATAAGACAAGCAACGCTTATTTTAAAAACTTGGCACACTGTGACCCATCGTTGACTTTGGTTGCAGATCAGGGCAATCTCTTCAGTTTTCTCCTTCTGCCATGGATTTCCTTTTATTTCGGAACTCCCTGCCACTTCCTGGGTTTGTTTGTCTTAGTTGTCTCCAGTCTGAGTTGGGATAATCATTTGGTGAGGCTTTGTACACGAAGCCCTTTTCTCTTGATGGTGAGGGTGAAGGCTCAGCCACTAACAGGAAGAACCTCTTTGGAGACAACTTGAATTTGTTCCCTGCAACCCCTGATTGGCATCTGACTGAACAATAACAAAATCTGAATTGCTAACTTTTCGTTATGGCATGAAGAATATACTTAGAGATAAATATTTATTATTAGAAACAAGAACTTCTTAATACATTTTCACCTACTATCTCTCTATGTTATTAAGGCCTTTATCTTGTCGTTTCACTCTTCCTCTCCTTCTTTTCCCCTTCAAAACAAAAAGAAAAAAGAAAAAAAGAAAGAAACTGGCAGTTTTTCACGACTTCAGATAAAATTTGGCAGGCACATACAGAAGAAACTGCAGTAAGGGAAGTTGGCTGTGGGATCACTTCTCTTTCATGAAGTACTCGAAGAGTGCAGGCACAAAGCACTATTCACAGGGGGGTTGCTGCAGATATATCACTGCCAACTACCAGTAAAGATGAAGCAGAAAAATAATACATGTTTGGAAACGCACAGGAACATGTATTGGAAGAGGGAGAGGATTAAGAATTCATTGCTTTGGGGCTCTCTTGTTCACTTTTGTAGAGGTTGAAGGAACTGTTCCTAACCAGGTCCTGTCAGCCTGGGCCTCAGCAAACTGGGAATACAGCGGTGTGGACAGCAGTCCATTTATTCCTGTGGAAGAGAGATGAGCAACTTGAAGCTTACTACTACATTTTAAGAGCAAACCAAGTCACCCGTAATCCACATTATATTCCTGAGGGGAAGAGAGAACGAGAGAGAGAGAGATTGATTGATTCATTGATTGATTGATTTTAGGAAGGATGCTAAAACAGTGTTTCATTTTCCCTCCCCCTCCCATTCCTCAATTCTTTTCAGAAAAAAACATACCCTGCAATGTAAAAATTCCCAGAAATGTTCCAATTCTGTTGAGGAGAAAAAAGGGTACTTCGGAAAATATGACTGAGGGCACTTCTACACTGTTGGCACTTCCATTTCCCAATCCCTCTAAAACAATCTGAAGACAATATGTAATTATGTCTACACCACAGACTCAGATATGCTGAGAACAAAAAGCAAAAATCATTACTTTCCTTCAAATTGCCAAAATCCTACAGCACCAACCTCCCCCAACTCCACATCATATAAAAGGGAAGTACAATAAATCACCTGCACATGCAAGACACACCCACACACACTTCTTGTGTGCTCATATGCCTGTCCACAAAAAAGTCTCTATAGATCATATGAGAGGGCAGGGCTGAAAAACTGCCAAGCCACCATTCCCTTTGAAAGAGTTGCTAACATGATTGTAGCTTAGGCACTGGGAAGTGAGATGAGATAAATGTTTCCTCAAATGGGAAAACAGTTCGGCCTGCAGTACCACAGCACCTCAGGGAACAAACTAGTTTCTGAACTGTTTGACATACAACATTGCTGAGCTGAAAATAAATGGAACAGAGATGACATCGTGGAATCTCAGGGCCATGGAACCAATCAGAAAAGAGCAAGTGGAAATGCTGTCTCTGTCTCTGTCTTTTTTTTTTTTAAGTTGTTACGCAACACAAATAAACTATTTACAGTCAATTCCTTTTTAAAAATGGTTTTGGGTATGTCACAATGTGATGACTTATTTTGGATTTAGTGATATTATATGAAAAAAGATGGCTGCTTTTAACAAAGTTGCTGGGAAATAAGATCTGCTACTATCTGTCAAAATTCCCATCACTATTCTTAAAACTGATTTTAAGAAGCAGATATCCAGCTGCCAAACACAGTTCCTCTTCTCTGCATTGCCTGTGGAAATGCAGAAATTGCTGATCTTTAACTCCTAGTATCTTTCACCACTGTCCATGACTCCAAGGGAATGCTAGTAGTTGTAGTTCAGTGACATCTGGAATGCCAAAGATTACATTCTCCTGATGAGAGAAAGGACCAATTTCATGTTATGTGGAAATTTCCATCAGCATTTTCTTTTCCAATGGAAAGAAACCACGAGTGGCTTATGTCTGCATGCCTTTTCCATTACATGATGAAAAGCCGGGGGGGGGGGGGGGGGGGGGGGATTTGGAGAAGTAAAGAAAAAGCCTAAGGCAAGCAGAGACCTACCCCAAATTGGCCCTTATTGGGATACTGGCTTCCTGGCTGATATTTGTTTTTGAAAAATACAGTGTCAGCACCACAACTGATGGGAGAGGAGAGGAAAAGGACAGACTATTGAGGACTGAAGAGCAAAATGTCAAATAACAAGCAAGTAGCAGATATGATTAGGGATGGGGTTTTTATTTATTTTATTTACACAATTTATTAGCTGCCCATCTCACTTTTTCCAAGCCACTCTGGATGGCATACAACAGGGTTATAAAACAATCAATAAATACATTAAAAAGTATAAAAATATAAAAAACAAAACTAAAACAAAAAAGTAATAGAGAAGAGAGGTTAAAAATAATGGAGCCACCTCATTAGATCACCTGTCCCCTGGGATCCCCAGGCACAACAGATCTTAAGGGACCTTCGGAAACCCAACAGTGATGAGGCCAACCTCACCTCAGGGGGAAGAAGATTCCACAGCACAGGCACCACAGCAGAAAAGGCCTGCCACCTAGAGCCCGCCAAATGTAGCTCCCTAGGCGTTGGGACCCGTAACGTTTCCTCTCTGCCGGATCTGGTAGGACGGACAGATGAAATTGGGGACAGGCAGTCCCTCACGTAACCTGGGCTCATGCTATGAAAGGCTTTAAAGGTCAACACCAGCATCTTGAACTGGCCCTGGAAACAAACTGGTAACCAATGCAGCTCACAAAGCAGAGGTGTGACGTGTTCTACCAGAAGCACACATAACTGCTCGTGCCACTGCATTTTGCACCAGCTGACGTTTCTGGGCAGCCCCATGTAGAGTGCATTGCAGTAGACTAACTGGGAGGTGATCAGGGCATGAGTGACTGTGAGAAGGTCCCCCTGATCCAGGAATGGGTGCAACTGGTACACAATATGAAGTTGTGCACAGGCCCTTCTAGCCATGACTGCCACATGCTCATCAAGCAGGAGTCATGAATCCAGGAGGACCCCAAAATTGTGTACAGGGTCTGTTTGAGGCAGTGTTGTTCATCCATTGTCATTGATGAAGACCTCAACACCATTAGTCATGTTAAAACTAAAAGTGGTGTGTCCGAAGATGACCAGTCAACTCCTTTTTGGGGAACTGTTTGGGTATGTGCTCATTTGGGATACAGATGACATGACCTGCCCCCTGGGTCTGTGCGCTCATCAGTAGTGTGTGGATTGATGGTAGACTTGCTTTAGAGAGAACTTCAGCGTCTGGTACTTTATCTAGCCATTTGATGCCTAATATTCTGCAAAGACAAGTCATGTGGAAATGGTTGAGCTGTCTTGCATGCCTTCAATACACAGTCCACATTTCACAGGCACACAGAAGGGTAGTGAGTATCACAGCTCTGTAGACCTTCAATTTTGTTGCTAGACTAATTGCTCGACATTCCCACACAGTGGAATGCAGTCTACCAAAAGCAAAACTTGCCTTTGCTATTCTGCCATTAACTTCTGTATCAATGATCACTACTCAGGAGAGGGTGCTGCCAAGGTATTTGAACTGGTCCACTGCCTGTAGTTTCTACCTTTTGATTTTGATTTTGGGTTCTGTGTATGATGCATGAGGAGCAGGCTGGGGCATGACTTAGGTCTTTTGAATATTGATAGTGAGTCCAAAGTTGTCACAAGCCGTAGAGAATTTGTCCATACTGACTTGCATTTCTGGCTCTGAGCCAGCATTCAGGGCGCAGTCATCGGCAAAGAGGAAGTCTCTCAGAACAGTTTCCTTCACTTGGGTAATAGCTTGAAGTCTCCTTAGGTTGAAGGGCTTCCCATCCACTCTGTGCTTGAGGCTGATTCCAGCATCACTGTCCTGAAAGGCATCATTCAGCATGGCAGTAAATATCATGGTGAATAATGTGGGTGCAAGCACACAGCCCTGTTTAACACCACTGGTGACTGGGAATGCCTTAGAGAATTCTCCACCATCCAACACTCTGGCTACCATGCCATCATGGAATTGGCATACCATCTGAATGAATTTGGTGGGGCAGCCGAACTTTGACATGATCCTCAACAGGCCTTGTCGGCTGACAGTATGAAAGACTTTCATGCGGTCAACAAAGGTTGTATAGAATTCATGATTTTGCTCCTGACACTTCTCCTGAAGTTAGCACATGGCAGAAATCATGTCAATAATCCCACGATCTCTGCGGAAGCCACACTGTGACTCTGGCAGCAAGCCGAAATCCAGATAAGTGACCAGACGATTTAGCAGAACTCTTGCAAGGGTTTTTTCTGCAATGGAGAGCAGCAAGATTCCTCGGTGGTTGTTGCATACTTGTTGATTACCATTCCTCTTGTAGAGGCATATGATGGATGCATCATTAACTTCCTGAGGAATGGATCAGATATGATTAGACATTGCTTAATTATGGAAGCGCTAAGTTGAACTGAGTCTCATTTAAAAAGAAGGCATGGCAAAACCAAAAACTGAGT